GTGCCGGCAGCACATGGCGTCGCATATGTGCACATATTTCCCACCCAGGAAGGAGGCTCCTCCTTTCTGTCACATCATATGCTAATCCACTGATTGCTCGCCGCTTCGCTTGGTCCGTGCCAAGTGAAGCTCAAGTGTCCTATCCCAAGTGCCTACAGTAAGGTTAATAGGTAGGCAGGTAGGTAGGTAGGTAAGGTGCACTGAAGCCCAGTGAGATTGGATGCGGTGCAGATCGGCTCAGGACACCGTAAAATGATAATACGACAGTATTGGGCCATTCCATGCTGTCGTACGGATACGATGTTGAAAGCTCTCCGCATGCACCTCGACGGTGACTGATGCAATCAATGCATGGTAAAATGACAGACCGGGTGCCAATCGGGTCGCGGGCTGGGTGTGAGACGACTCCGCCCCGTCCGATAGACCCCGGCCTGGGCTCTCCTCTCATCCTCCTCCTCCTTCTCCGCCGCCGCACCGCTGCACCGCTTGCAGCCAGATGTTGCATCCCGCGGAGGGAGGCACCTAGTGTACCTAGTTGTGGGTAGGTACCCTTTTACCGTTTGTTTGCGCAGAGGGACATGTTCCTCTGGCCATCCGTCACCCCCTCCCCTCATCCTTTCCTTCCTCCACAGTCCCGCCTCCACTGGATCAGGAATGAATGAGTTCGAGGCTCCTGCCTGCCCTGTGACGACACTCTGGCGTCTAGTAGCTGTCCACCGTCTTTTGGTAGCGCAAGGGTGTTTGCTACTAACGCGAACCGTCCATGTCTGAGATGCAAGCGCACACGACCGTTCTGTCAACGCGTGGCCAACTGCTGGTATAGTCGAGAATGATCCCGCCCGCCGATGCTGGCACGCTTCCTTCACACCCTAATGGTTCCGGAAGGCATTCCACTGCCATCATCCATCGTCCATCCTCGCAGAGCTGTCGCCGAGCGCCGCGGAACCGGTGACAATTGGGTCTGACTTCCCCGCTGACATCGTCCGAGCGATCCGCGAGCCCGCACACAAGCCTGGTGGATGGCGCCGCCAATCGCCACCTGGACCCGTCCTTGTGTCCTTACGCATCCATTGCCTTCTCCGTCCTTCAAGTCTCCAGAATCCTATCTCCATCCGACTGCGGTCCAACGGTGCGAGAATGCATCAACCACCCTACACGGCTACGGCCACGGTCACAGGCAGTCTTCCTTCTGACAGCTTCGGACTCGACAGACGATGCATAACGGCAAGACGTGCTTGCCGTGGGAGTCTTGGCAGCGCCAACTGCTTCTGCACCGGCATGGCTCCTGTAACAACCATCGCTTGCCAACTCAGATATCTGAATCCTGACACCAATCGCTGCACGTTCCAATCCCGCTTACCTACATTCCTTCGCTGCGCTGTCCCCGCATCGGCACGAGCACGTGCTATAGCTGCCTGCTGTGCAACAGTCGAGGGCCTCAAAATATATATATGTATATAATTATCAGCCGGGGTTACGCCGCTTCGGTGGCATTGATCGAGCCCCACCGCGGCGCGAACTCGGAATGCCGTGGAAGCGGAAGCCGTCCAAAAAAAGGTTGCGTGGTCATGCCCACGGAGGGACGCTATTGCAGGCCTCTGCCCCGTCACCATAGACAAGCGAGAGAGGAGGGGGAAAAAACAACAACCAGATGCCACTTCTTGTCGCTGAAACAGGCCTCGAGTCGAGTTGACCTTTTTTGATCAGTCGAGGCTCTTGCAGTCGCGGCATGAGGTGAGTGGGACGGAACAGCCTGAGGTTTGATGGCGTGGTTTTTCCCGGCATCTGGGGAGGGCTGTTCGTTCCTCGACGTGCAGTGTTGCAGCCAAGACCGGCATCTCGTGAAATGCCGTCCGAGTACCACCAGATAAAGGAAGAAACAAAACGTCGAGAGCTTCAGTAAAAAAGGGGACTCGCAACATATGGAACGTAAATAGCGCGGGCGCCGACTAGCGTTGTCAGGTGAGGCTTTGAAGAGTCTCCCGCGTGAACTTTTCGCAAGCAGTCGGGGTCGGATATTGTGGGGTCACAGGGTCGTAATGAGGTTTGCACGGCCGAGCCGTCATGTGCGGGAGCTGCCAACATGGCGTCAAGCTCGGGACTATGGAGGGGAGGTTGCCATGTCGTTGGACCCTTGTTAAATAGCGGTTTGCTAGATTGTCAACAGTGAGGATGGGGGTCTACTTCCGACGTCCAAAGCCCTTTCTGATAGGTACGTTAACTGCCGCAGCCGCAGCGTAGCGATGACCAGATAAGCTGCTAGGTCGTGTTCCTCCCGAAATGCTCTGCCGAGGGACAGGCAGAACGGTAACTACCTAGCGGACCAGGCCCCGGCAGTCATAGGTTTTTGAGCTCGACGATGGTGGCGCATGTTCGAGACTGCTGCTCCATCTTCCGGTGCCGACGACCGGAGAGTGGTTGGTGGTATCCCGGCGTGTGCGAAGAAGACGAATGGCTTCTAATTTTAGAGATGAATGCCTGAGTTCCACCTCGTCGGCTTTCTCGCTAGCGAGAATTGGGCAAAGTGTTGTACAGCATGTATGTATAGTGTACAGACAGATACGGTTTTGCTTTTTTAGAGTGGCGGGGAGCGGGGCCCTGAGTGGGGGATCTGGCGAGCCCCGAAAAAGATAGTCAACCAAACATTACATCGTGCCTACCTACCTACCTCCGCCACCATACCACCTCGCGCACCCGATAACCGGTTGCCACCATATATTGTTCCGTGGGGGCTGAGTCCCCCTCACCTTACCTGCCTCTGACCGATGAGCGATAGTATTCGATAGAGATGATAACTGAGGTGAGGATGTGGTCTGGGAACGTGGGCTTTGGATAGTTCCTGCTTAAAGTGTTGTTGCGCTTGAGAATCGTGTGTGTGCGTGTGTGTGTCCCGTTGCTCTCTGTTTCTCACACGGTCTGTCATGCTCATACCTACCTTTCTCTCTCCCGCGTTAGTGTCGGTCGGTGTGGGAGAGAAACACAAGAGCTGAGCCCCCGCAGGATGACGAACCCCCGAGCCACTTTTAAACTGCGTGGCCGTAAGGGGGCCCGACTCGGAGCTTGGACGTGTCAGACTGCAAGACTGGCGCCGATCAAGGCAGATCTTGCAGGATGGGACTCTACGAGCCAGGTTTGGTGGGTGTTGTTTTAGGGGTTCGCTCTCTTGTCAACTCAGCAACATGCCACCGATCCTCTGCTCACGGATAGTGATTGACAGCGAATCTTGCTGATGGTCGCAGTGGAGAGCCAATCGTTCCTGGATTGGGTCTTTTTCTTCTTTTTCTTGGAGGTTGGCATATCTCTCTCTCTCTCTCTCTCTCTCTCTCACATGTATCTGTACACAGTGTGACAGCCATCATGGCACTTACTATGTATGTGCCCGTTCCGTCTGAAGTTCACGAGGTTCTGAAAGTCCGACAGACACAGGTCGCCCAAGGGCGAATGAGAGGCCCAGGGAGCAGGCCGCGTACGACAATGTGAAGAAGAAGAGGCAGCAGCAGCAGCAGCAGCAGGCCCGAGGGTGTGTTCTTGGCCCGGCTTGCATCTTAATCAATCTGCGGCGGCTTGTCTGATGAGATGGCAGGATCGGTTTATTCTTTCGTCTCGCAGGCCACAGCAGTCCAGGCATGACGGCTTCGAACTGCACAATGAGCGAAGTGCCGCATCTGGACGATGACTCGAACAGCCGAGTGCGTGCAGTCTCATCAGCGAATGGCTAAAGGTAGTAGTTTCGCAGAAGGAAGTGAATGATAGCAATCCCGGACTCTAAGCTAAGGTTTGGCGGCTGTGTCAGAAAGTACCCGTGCGCGGGTAGCACAGCCAGAATGTACCTCCCGCTGGCGTCACCAGTCCTGCACCACAAGGGCCTGTGTAGGTACGGATACTGTATGAGTATGTGCCCCCACCGGGAATTTCCAAGCTGTCACCAGCCGTCATCGTCAAAGTTTATACTGAAGAGAAGCTAAATCAATCATGTTCAGAATCACTAGAGAGCAGAAGTGGATGCTGATTCGGGGCCGCGTTTGATACAGTGTTTTCGCACGGTATGTGAGAAGGCATCACAAACGCTCTTCAGGCTCCCTCCGCCTTTCGACCCCGTTGCTCGGTCGAGGGATCATGGATGCTCCCAGAAGGGCCGGGGCTGAGTCGTGGCCGCTAGCTGCGTGGAGGCGGGTTGGGTAGCAGCCCGTCAGCAACGTAATGTAATGTCGACTTCGGCGCCGCCCAGCCAGCCAATAGTCAAGAAGAGGCGTGCTGGGCAAAGGCAGTAGAAGCAGGGTGAGAAGGTACCCGAATCATGGAACCTGTTTACCGCAGGCTGAGCTCACTCCGTGTCTCTCTCTCTCTCTCTCTCTCTCTCTCTCTCTCACTTAGTCACCCAGCTGCGTGGTGTATTTGCTGTGCAGCCAACGGCGCAAAGCTGCGCATCCACCCGTCCCATCTCCACAAAGAAAAAAAGAAAAGGAAAAAATGACGGTTGGTTCTTGCTTTGCTGCGCTCACATGTAGCGTAGGTACTCGGTACTGCGCCACGGCCCACGTCCCTGCCCCTGTCGTGTTTCCTGTCCCAATCCTAACCTGTTCTTGCCCTGCGCCTTCTTGCACGTACCGGTACTGTCGTCGTGCCTTACAGCCGAAGTAGGTAGGTACGTAACGGCTCCTTGCATCCTCCTCGTCCTCGCCCTCGTCTGTTTTATAAACATCAGCATTCGTCCGTCCGTCCTGTGTCAGCCTCCTGCCTCGTGCCTCTTACACTTATCGCCCACATCCGTTTGCCTCCCGAACAAACATAATACTGTCAAAGGGCTCTTTCTCACCGCCCTTCCCTCCTTCGCTACCTACCTATCTCTCCTCTTTTGCTCCATCCGCCGGCCCTCGTTTACTTCCTAGACACATTCGTTGTTGAAGAAGGTCGACCCACTTACCCGAATAAGCCTATTCCTTAATTCAGCATCACAACCTCTCGCGTCTTAGTAGGAATACTCCAACATCACAGCGAAAATGGGTGTCGGTCGGGTCATCTGCGTGGCGCTGCCATTCATCCTCACCGTCGGCTCTCTCATCTTCCTCATGATCGCTGCCCTCGGTGGCGTCTCCAACAAGGACCTGTACATGTTCCGTGTCAACCTCACAGACTTGGAAGTCAGCCCGGCCTCGGTATCAAGTATAGTATCGAGAGACGCCAGTGCTGTCAGCTTCGGTACTCTCCACAGCCGCGCTCCACAGGCTGCCACCGACGGTACCCAGACGAGCAACATCACCGCCGCCGACCTCGGCCTGAACAACCTCTACGACATCGCTCTTTGGGGCTACTGCACCACCGGCACCGACGGCAGCAAGACCTGCACCAAACCCAAGTTCGACTGGGCTTCCGACTACCTCAACACTTCTACCCTCGAGGCCATCGGTACCGCTGCTGGCCGTAAGATTGAACTGCCCAAGGAGGTGAAGACTGCTCTTTCCGCCTTCAAGACCGCCACCAAGTGGACCCAGGTCGCCTATATCATCGCATTCATCGCTCTGGGTCTCGAGATCGTCTTCGGCATCTTCGCCAACTGCACCCGCGCCATGTCCTGCATCACCTTCCTCGTCGCCTCGGTTGCTTCCCTCGCCGTCTGCGCTTCCGCCGCCCTGTCCACCGCCATGTCCGTAATCGTTGTCGGCGCCGTTGAGGGCACCGCCAGATTCTACGGCGTCTCTGCCGGCTTCAACAACAGCTACCTCGCCCTCGTCTGGGTCTCTGCCGCCATGGCTCTCGGCGCCGGCTTCTTCTGGATGTTTACCATCTGCTGCTGTGCCCCCAACCACACCAAGAAATCCAAGCGCAACAGCGACGGCGAGAAGCTCCTGCCCCAGACCGCCAGCTATCAACCCATCCACGAGGACAACGGTTATTACAAGCAGCAGCAAGCCGCTCAGTACGGTGCTCCCCGCTACGCCAACGGCGCCCGTGGTGATATGGCCTACGAGCCCTACTCTCACCGGCCTTAAATCTATCTTGGGATCTGGTAATGTGGCGGCAGTCGCCAGACAAAGCTGCTTTTATGGATACGGCAACTTTCTTTTTATCAATACACATTACTCGTTACGGCATTTTTGGCGTTGGGGTAACGGCTCACTCTATGAGAACAAACGAACGACACGCACAGAGGTGGATATGAGTATTTGTTTTGGCAACGGAGATGATTGTCAGAGGGGGTGACGATTGCTATGGGCTTGCTGGTGGATTCGGATTTCTGGGGATTGGAGATACCCATCCAGGCTCGACTGTCTATAGACCTCGGATGTGCTTATTGCAATCAAAAACATGATTAGTTTGACCAACAAATCTCCTGCCAGTCACAAACCTGGGCGTTTCATGTGACAGCCTTATCATGAGTCGGATAAATCTGACATGCGTCTAAGTGCTGAGCAGGATTACCTTACACAACGTGTGCCCTCCCGGTGATTGGCACTGTTCGAGGGATTTCCTCGAAATTTCTCACAAAGCCACTTGGGAAAAAAAGGGAAGAAAAAAAAGAGAGAAAGGAAAACCCCACAAGGCGGCAGAAGGAGGCGAATGATTCGATCCACCACATAATACATACCTACACCTCCAACTGCATACATACTTTTGCTAACGGAGGATGCCCTTTTCTGCCACAGTTCAGCTCAGCTCAGCTCAGCCGCAAACTAGCATCATGATCCTGGGTCTCTAGGCAACCACTTCACAAGAAACGCATTCTCCTACCGTTGACCACGTCCGAGGCCAGGGTGGTGAGACTCTAAAAGTCAGATATTACCTGACTTGGGCAGGCCTGATTTGGCGGCCGCCCGCTCTTCCTCATGAACCAAACAAACTCCGCAGTTAGTAATTGAGGCTATTCCTAAACCACAAACACAGACGGCATTTTGCTATTCTTGGTTTTTTTTTATTAACCCCGTTCCTCCCCGTCTCCCTACGAATGAGGCCAAGAAATGGGCTAGGTGACTGACCAACGAACACAGCCATCCGTAGCCCGGCCCCTACGACGGGACCACTACTTCACCCCGGTCACCGGTCTCAGCTTCTTCAACGCTAGGGACCGTGAGACATATCTCCTCGCCGGTGAAGACTCGGAGCTCAAGATCTATGACTTCGAGGGTCGGCTGCGTGGCCAGCTCAAGATCTTCCGTGCCCAGTCCATCCATGGCATTCACATCCGTGCCGGTAAAGAGAACGGCCACCAACGGCGGCAAGTGCTCCTCTGGGGAAACCAAGCGGTGACTGTGATTCCCGCCAGCCTTGTCGAGGATCTTATCCTTGCCGATGGAAAGACGGATGAGCCTTCGGTGCCGCTGGGCGTCGTGGAAGCCAGAGCGCCGGACTGGATCTACGACGGCGCCATCTCGCCCGAGGATGCGGGCCGTGGCGTGCTAGTCACGGCGCACAATGAGGTCCTCGAGTTTTCCATCGGGGACGACGACCGAACTCTTGAGTTCGGTCGCATCATCTCGCCCTCGCGGCCAATCCTGTACTCGGCCAGCCTCACGTGGATATCAAAGACCTCCGTCCTAGTGGCCGGGGGCACCGTCTTTGGTGAGATTGTCGTCTGGAAGTGCCACTTCTCTGGCGATGCGGTGGAGGCTGAGAAGAAGCCGTGGAGCGAGGTCTTTTTCGTATTCACTGGCCACGAGGGCTCCATCTTTGGCGTGGACATTTCCCCCGAGATCGATATTGGCGAGGGGGGCAAGGCGAGGCTGTTGGCCAGCTGCAGCGACGACAGGACGATACGAGTCTGGGACATCACCGAGAGGCCCGAGGCCCCGCGGCTGCAGTACGGCGCCTTCGGCGAAGTTCGAGAGACGGGGTTTGGAGGTGCTACCGCAGCAGCTGCCGCGGCCGCCGCGGATCTCACTGCGACGCAGGTGGCGTCAAACGCGCCCCTGGCCATGGTCATGGGCCACATCTCGCGCATCTGGAACGTCAGGTTCCCGCAGACACTGGACGATCTGGCGAGCCACTCCGCGACGACGATATACTCATTTGGAGAGGACTCGACGTTGCAAACCTGGTCCCTGGAGATCGACGTCGGGCAATGGCGGCGGAAGTCCCTTGCCCCTGCGGCCGCGGATGACGTCCAAGTCGGCGCTACGATCACGCACAAGGAGACGTACGCCCGCCACGACGGCAAGCACATCTGGGCCACGGCGCTCACGCAAGCGGCAGGCGGCGAGGTGGTGGTCGCCACTGGCGGCGCCGATAGTAAGATCAACCTTCTCTCGGACCGTTCGCGCGCGTTTCGTGGTGGGATGTCCCAGGTGAGGGACTTGCCGAGCGAGCTGCGCACTTTGGTGATGCGGGACGTGATCGGCAAACTGCCGGCACGGGACCCCAACTTTGCGACCCCGTCTGAGGTGAAGAAGGCGTTCCACAGGCTCACGTTCATTTCGAGGGAAGCACTGCTCGCCACGAGCAACACCGGCCGTCTCCTGATCGGCACATTCGGGACGGAGCTGACGTGGTCTGAAGTCGGGACCGATGCGGATACACTGCAGGCGCTGAGGACCTGCACCAGCGTCAAGAGCCCTGCGCCAGGCATGGCGCTGCTAGGCACGGCGAGCAAGAAGGTCTTCCTCTACAGCGACTCGGCCATCCGGCAGATCGGCACGGTACCGGGTAAGATTGCCGACATCTTCTGCTTGGGCAGCGCTTCGGGGACGACGCCGAAGCTGGATTTCCTCGTTACCATGCTGGGAGGCGAGGAGGCCACGCAGATCCTGACTCTGGACCTGGCGACCTACACAGTCACTTCCATGGTCTCGGTTCCCGAGCTGGATAGCAGGTTCGTTGTCACAGCCGCCTGCCAGGTGAACGACCTCCTAATCCTCGGCTCCCGCCACGGGTACATGTCCGTCTTCCGCCGCACCGACGGCCAACTCGACACGCTCGCGGCGCCGGGCAGACGCACCAACGACGCCATAACCTCCATCAACCCCCTCCCCGCCCCGTCCCCTTCTTCTGCAGCAGCCCACATCATCACAACAAGCCGCGACGGAAACTACCGCATCTACGAACTCCCCCCCTCCGCCTTCTCGTCCCCACTGTGTCTCCGCCACGAGACCGCCCCCGCCGCGGTCCCGAACATCGAAGATGCTTGGGTCGCTGGAACGGACCTCGTCCTCTGCGGCTTCCGCAGCAAGCACTTCATTGTCTGGAACGAGACGCGCCACGAGGAGCTTCTCCGCGTCGACTGCGGCGGCGCGCACCGCGCTTTCGCCTACATCCCGCAAGACGGCAACGGCGACGACGGGCTGCGCTTCGTCTACAACAAGGCCGCTACGTTGGGCGTCTACGTCCAGCCGCACGCGTCGGCCGCCGTCGCCCACCACCGCACCCTCAAGCGCGGCTCGCACGGTCGCGAAGTCCGCGCCGTTGCGTACTCCGGGCGTCGGTACATCGCGTCGGGTGCCGAGGACACGGCCATTCGCATTTGGGAGTACACCGCTATCCCGGAGTCGGGTTCGTCGAGACGGGAACTGCGCTGCGTCAAGGTAGTCAAGGTGCACACTGCGGGGCTACAGTCCCTTAAGTGGCTCGGCGAGGAGCTTCTCTTTAGCTGCAGCGGCAACGAGGAGTTCATGGTCTGGCGGGCGAGCGACCTCGGCAGTGTGGCCGGTCTGGGCCTGATGCGTGAGGCTGTGTTCGCGGACCTGAGCGCAGACGGGGACCTCAGGATCACGAGCTTCGACGTTGAAAGGCTGGAGGACGGGGCCGCCGCCATCACGATGGCGTTCTCCAACTCGTTTGTCAAGACGTATAGGTACACGCCCGACAACGGCTTCGAGCTGCTGTTCCAGGGGCAGTACACCGGGGCGTGTCTGACGCAGGCGCGGCACCTCCGGGTCCGGGAAGGGGCGTTCGACGTCGTCACCGCTGCGACGGACGGGTGTATTGCCGTCTGGCGGTCAGCGGGTGCCGAGTACGTTCTCCAGAAGACGGTGCGGGTCCACCAGAGCAGCATCAAGGCGCTCGACATACACGCTCCGTCTGCGGGGCGGGCTGTGGTCCTGACCGGAGGCGATGACAACGCGCTGGGCATCACGACGCTCGGCTTGTCGGCAGACGGCGGCGGCTTTGCGCCCGTGGCCAGGGCGGGCGTCAGGAAGGCCCACGCGGCGGCCATCAACGGGCTTACAGTCCTAGGGGCCAAGGGAGCCGACGGCGAGGTGGTCTTCGCGACGGCGAGCAACGATCAGAGGGTCAAGGCGTGGAGGCTAAGGTGGCGCGAAGGCGTGGAAGAGGTCACGCTCGTGGCTGACGAGTACAGCGGCGTTGCGGATGCCGGCGACATCGAGGTCATCGGGGATGGGAAGCTCGTCGTCGGCGGCGTTGGGTTGGAGGTTTGGGATTGGTCCAGAGTGAGTGGCTACTAAAAAGGGGGCTTATGACGGTCATGCGATGGAGAAAATCGAGACTTGGTATACAAGGTGGTGGCTCGAGAGGGGCCATTTTGTTTAGGCCGTTCTTGCTCTTGGAATAGGAGCTCCTATCACTTGCTTGGGCTCAGACATCTATACCGAACATGATGTTCCCAGTCCCAGAGACCCTGCTGTCCTTAGGCTGTCCCGAAAGAAGACACACCCTCTCCCTGTCCGAGTCTGGGGTCATAGTTGTCAACAAGACTCTGACCAGAAGTAGAGTACACTGCTGTTTCCTGTTCTGGTGGCGATATGCAATGGAAGTGCCCAGCACTTGTATGGCTGGTTAAAACATTATGCTTATATTTCCCTAGAAGCAACCATGGGCCTCGGTCGGCAAGTATGTAAACCCTTGTGCGTTGAATGAATCATGTAGCCCTTTCTGGAACGAAGATGCATAAACAAGCACTCGTTGTTGGGTATTTTCCCGATGCGGACAATAAAGATGAACCACGCTATGCAGCTTGAAGACCACCGGCCTTCCTTCCTCCCGTCTTTCACGTCCCCCTTGTGATGTTGGGCCCCGTACCGATTCCTGTCAGTGTCCTGACGAACCAGTGCGCCCAGCTCTCCGTCTCGAGCGTCCTCTTGAGCTCCTCGGCGCGCTTCTCCACGTCTTCGACCTGCCTTTCGAAAAGCCGGACTCCGTCTTCGACGTCGTCCACCTTGCTAACGAGCCCGTTGATCTCGTACTCGAGCCGCGCCACGAGCACCTCAACCTCCTTAATCGCCTCGGTGATGTGCGCCCGCTCCTCGGCGATGAGCTCCGTCGAGCTCTGCTTGACTCGGTGGTACGCCTCGCTGAGCTGGTAGTAGAGAGTCTGCAGGCCTTCCTGCTCACGGCTGTAGTGCTCGTCCAGAGAGTCCACGGCCTTGATTTTGGACTCGACCCACGGGTTGACCTCGCGCGTGATGGTCGCGATAGAGTCGTACAGACTGCGGGCAAACTCGGCCAGACTAGCCTGCTGTTGCAAGGCGTCGGCCGTGGAAAAATGCTTGTCATCGTATAGCTCAGTGATTTCCTCCCATCTCAAGACCGCCTCTTCTGCATCTCCAAAGGACAGCCGCCGGGGCCAGCGAGCCTCGTTCATAGGGTGCTTGTACGAAAGCCTTGAGACGGCGATGCTGTGTCGACGCTGAAGAAAGCTCAAGGCAGTGTTGCCTGTCCTTTCTGCTTCGAAGGGGCCGTGCAGATCAGCTTCGTCAACCACAGACCCAGCAACCGACGTCTGAACCCGATCAAGCCCTTCTTTCACCGACTCGTTGGGAGGCGTTGAAAATCCGCCCTCCAGATGCGCCGAGCTGGGATCCAATGCTTCGCGGGTTGGCTTGGACACTACCGGCGTATTTTCGAGTTCTTGTGATGACTCTCGCAGCTCCTGCGCGGCCTCTGCCTCCTTCTTAAAGGCAGTGAGGTATTCCTCCGGCTTGTTCTTCCACGTGAAGGCCCTACCAACCATGACCGGTGATAGAGTCGCAGAAGACTGTACCAAGTTTGAGATGCCGGGCGCGCTGTTACTGTATCCATTCTCGCCAAAGTCGTCTCTACTAGGACGGCTCGCATGGCCTCTGAGGCCGGTACCTACGACGTCTTTGATGCGGCCGAGGCCAGATTTGGCGTCACTGACTCTGCCGGCGACGGATTTGAAGACTGTTTTCCTAAGTGCATCCTTCTCTGCCGGGTTATCGACCACACTCACGGCTGAAGCAGGCGCCGGGGTCGAATAAACACCAGGTGACTCCTCCTTCTGTCGCTGAAGTTCCTCTTCCAGCGGTAACGATTGTGTTCGTTTGCCTGACGGCGGAGGAACCTCATCTTTCCCGAACAATGGCTGCGCCACGTCCTTTGGCTTCTCGTGGAGCTCTGGCGCGGTCCTTCTGGGCTTCCCGTACCAGAGCCACTTTGCGCGCTCACCGTACGCCAGGGCAATGAACCTATCAATGTCGATGGTCTCGATGTCAGCTATACCGGCTTTGTCCTTTCCGGCGACCATGCCGATGACAAGCTCGCCCCTTTTACCGCCAATTTCGGCGACGGTGGACTTGACAGCCTTTTGCACGCCCCATCCTTCGCCGGCAGCTGCTTTCGCTGTAACGGCGTGGAGTTTGAGAATCGTCTGGCGATCCAGTCGCCTTGTCCGCTCAAGCTTGTATGCTTTCTGGAAGTAGCCGACTCCCCTTTTCGTGCTCTCGATGTCGAAAACATCTTTTGAAACAGGTGCACCGTAGTAATGCAGCCGGTTCCGGGCACCCATCAGCAATCCCAGCAACGCTGCCACAGTCGTCGGCCCCAGGATGCCATCTGTAGGCTCGACATTGTAGCATTCGGCCCCAATCTCTGTCCACCAGTTCCCGATAGACTCTTCCGTCTTGTCGCATAACAGGCCATCGATGTACTCCATGTCTAGCTTTCCAAACATGAATAGGGATACTTGGCATAGTTTGACTAGTTCCACCGCGGACTGTGAAAAGGGAACCTTTTCGCTTGTCTTGAACAGCTGATAAAATTTGGCCTGAGTCGCAGGAGTAGGGTCCGAAAGATTCATGCCAGACCTCCCAGAGCATCCTAACCGCTTGAGGTTCTCATTGACAATAAAGGCCTGGCGATGGGTGCGGATATCGCCCTCAGGGACGGGTATGACTGTCAGAGCTGACGGAAAGCTACTGAGGTTCGTGACCATCACATCTCCCAACGGCGTCTCCTTCGGCCGTGCATGGTACTGATGGATGGCCTTGAAGTAGAATCGCAGGCGGTCAGACCAGATGCTCTCATCTGCCGGGACGGCCAGCACCCCGACGACGACCGAGTGCTTCGGGTCACCCGTATATGTAACGATAACTAGCGTCGGCGACTTTCGTGAACACGCCCATTGTTCGACCAAGTATAGCTCGTACCCTTGCAATACCCCCCTCCGCTCGAGGACAGTGACTGACGGATCGCTTTCTAGATATCTATTTGAAGGAAACGTGGTCAGCGTAATGAACCGTATGGGTACAATACCTAGAGCACTTACCTGAAGGCCACTGGGTCGGCAAAGACCCATTTCCTCTTCATGGCCGACAATGGAGACGGCACCGCGGGCTCTGTGGAGGCCTCCTTTTGCGGCTCGGGCGGTAAGGGGGTGTCCAGAGGAGACGGCCGGTTGCCCCCACGCTGGGAAGCAACTCTCGCCAGAGTCAGCTCCTCCTCGCGGTGCATGCGCGGGTCGTTGGTCGGAAAGGGGAAACGGAATGCCATCTCCATTTGCGGAAGCGCACGGTGTGGGCGGTGGGCGGTGACACTTTTGAGAGCGCCTACAACAACGCAGCGACTATCTGCAGGAAGACGAAGGCATAGTCGTCGGACTGGCCTGCCTGCGGTGAGTTTTTGTGTCCTAGGGCTCGGTCGCTATTCAAGGTGCCGAAGTCGAATTAAATCAAAGAAGTCGGCGTTGCCCTGTCCTACATGTGACTCGCACGGGTATCTCTGGGGTTAAGCCGCTGTCGTTGTCTCTCGATGGGTTTCTCGTCTCGTCCTCTCTCGCTGTCCCTGGGTGGCCGGGCATGTGACGCAATGTCCCTTCGTTGTCGTGGCTTAGTTGATTGGGCCGGCAGCTGCACCGCCATCTCGCTGGAAGGGTAGCACAAAGGCAAGCGGCAGACGCTAGCGGTGGACCCCCATCTCCGCAATGGCCTCGATCTGCCCCAAGCAAGCACTAAACCTGCTCTGTCCCCCCTGTTCCTCCATGGCACCCCCCCCTCGTCCCTAAACGCTCACCGTTTCCCGGGCCGCTGTTTCGCCGGCAGTTCGGTTAGTTGCCTGACTGACAGCGTGCCACCTGAGCGGTCTGCGGCCAGCCACATCTGGTGTTTTGTCAGTGGCCCCGCAGCCGAGGAAGCTTTCCGCTACCGCACTATCGGTGGCTATCGGTGATCGTCTAGACGTGTGCCGACTCCAACCACAACCTTCAACTACTTACCTACTAAGCGCAGCAGGGACCAGTGAACATACGCGAACTCACGCCTCCCGACAGTGAACTCTGCCTTTTTCCTTCTTCTTTTTTTGTTTGGCCTCGTTGAAAATTCGGACTTTCTAGGACGACTCGTAGCAATGTTCTGCCCGTCATAGTCTCCCGACATTCGAGCTACACGCAACAGCAGCAGCATACATTAACTAAACCCGTTAGACATACCAACAATCCGCACCACCAACTCCGCCACCATCATGGCGGAACACAACCCCATGATGACGCTCCAGGCTGAGCTCTCTCGTTTCCGTAAGGCGACACTCAACTCGGCCGTCAGTGACGCCGACAAACTCCTCGACCTGCTCGTGCAGGCAAGAGAGCAGATTGCAAATGGTATGTCACTCGCCCCGCCGTCATTTCCTGGTGGTCGTGTGCTCATCGGTGTCCCTCAACCCCACAGCGTCCGATCCGCACCGCGCGAGCTTGACCATGACCAAGCTTCAAAACCCAGTCAACGCAGGCTTCGAGGCAATCAACAATGACCTGAAGGAGGTCTCTAAAGCACAAAAGGCCTTTGGCAAGGCCCTCGACAAGGTGAGCGCCTGTCGAGCACGAAAGACACGGATGAAACCCCCTCTTCCGACTAACACCAGCCCCTCCCCTCTAGTCTTTCCCTCAGCGACCCCTATCGACAGATTACGACGCGATGGCTCCATATTCCTCTCTCATCAACCGCGCTGTCGCCATGCACATGCTTCGGGAGGGTCAGTTCAGCGTGGCCTCGACCTTCCTTCGAGAAGCCCACGAGCGACCTCCCCCTGCGTCCCCGAACCACCCCGCCTTCGATACCGATATACACTCGCTGCAGTCTCAAGAGCTCCAAGACAAGTTCGCCAACATGTACGAGATCCTGCACGAGCTCAAGAATAGGAACCTCGTCCCCGCCATCGAATGGGCGCGGGCCAACAGCGAGGAGCTCGAGGGCCGCGGCTCCAACCTCGAGTTTGAGCTCAGCAAGCTTCAGTTCGTCTGGCTATTCAAGGGTCCTGAAGTCAACGGCCTCCCCGACGACGCCCGCAACGGCCGCACGGGGGCCCTCGGCTACGCGCAGGCTAGCTTCGGCCGCTTCCAGGCCCGCCACCTCAAGGAGATCCAGCAGCTGTCGTGCGCCATGGTGTACGCGTCCAACATCAGCCAGTCACCCTACGCAAATGTCTTCGACACATCGGCCGCCTTCGACGACGTCGCCCTCTCCTTCACCCGCGAGTTCTGCTCCCTGCTCGGCCTGTCCGCCGAGTCCCCTCTCTACGTCGCCGTCACAGCGGGTGCCATCGCCTTGCCGCAGCTCATCAAGTACACCACCTACATGAAGGCCAAGCGCACCGAGTGGACAACGGAGAACGAGCTAGCCTTCGAGACGCCTCTGCCTCGCAGCATGATCTACCACCCCATCTTCGTCTGCCCCGTAAGTAAGGAGCAGACGACGGAGCAGAACCCGCCCATGATGCTGCCGTGCGGCCACGTCATTTGCAAGGATTCGCTGCAGCGCCTGACCAAGGGATCCCGCTTCAAGTGTCCGTACTGCCCCAACGAAGGCCACATCAAGGACGCTCGGGAGATCAAGCTGTAGGACGAGTTCAGATTCTTCGAGCTGGAGCAGGAGGACGATCCGAGCCATCAAAGACACCTTCTGGAACAAATAGGCTCTTATTTTACGATAGGCTGTCGGGAATAGGCGACGCGATGTAGGCACGGCCCTCGGGCATGTGGGGTAGGGCACAAAGGCGTTTCACGGGCAACGAACGGTATAACAGTCTGGGAGCCATTTTTTCTTCTTTTCTTTTCTCACGGTTTCCTCTTTATTGTTTCTGGGAAAGGCACAACAGGAATCCTCTTCTCTTTCTCTCTTTGGAGGGGGTCTCGGTTTTGGGTCGCAGGTATGGGACAGCGAATCTGGTTATTGTTCAGAATAGCGAAGAGTGAAACGGGAAATGCAAGTACAACTCTGCCACGACGATCGCCCAAACCAGCGTAAGCTGTTCCTAGGTGACTCAAGCCCGGTTTAGTTGAACTAGTGGGCCGTAGTCCTTGGCAAAGATGCCAAAGTCTAAGTCAAGGTCGGAGGCACAGCCCGGACGGACCGTAAAGACATAGGCGAGCATCCAGAACGGGGAGGAACGTGTGAGTTGAGACACACAGCCAAGGGTCACATTCACGTAAGATTGCCATTTTCAGCCTGCCCAGGTTTGAAGACGTTGAGGTGGAAGAAAGTGGTTTGATCATGAACACGTTCAAGGACACAGTTTTCATCAATGGTTTTGAATTACCTTAATGCTGAGTGACACTGGGTTGCACCAAGGAAACTTTAAAGCAAATCGCTGGTTTCGACGGCATGTAATGCGTACAAAGGCTTATTAGCCCCCTTTCGCTCCTGCCCAAGTCCATCGTGTCGTCCTGACCAAGGGCCTGGTCGCCAGCGCAACTTTACATAAAACATGTCCATAACTCCACCGTTGGACCAGTCTTCATCCCCCGCGGCAGGTGGAGAGAGAGCAGGCATCATCAACGCCATATAGTGTGTTTCACACATGAAAAGGGAAGAAAAAGAAAAAGAAAAACAGAGTCGATGGGGAATCTCAAGCAGTCCAACAAGCGCCCGGCCCTGCGTGTTTGCCGTGTCCGTCCACAATCCCATTAGGGGGTTTGGATGAAAAAGGTGGCATTGTGTCGTAAATCATGTCTTTGTACAATCGAGCGGTATCTCTTTTGATCTTGCGTTTGCCTCGTCGGGTCAAGCCAGCTCCACCCCTTTTCCTTAATCGATCGTCATCCTGCTTGCAATCTGCGGTTTGACATCTTGCAGGTTGATAGAATTCAAGTCCGGATTCTTCTCGAGGTCCCGGGACGGCTTGCGGAGGTGGTTCTTCAGACCAGCTCCGAAGTTGCGCATGCATATAATGCAGTTGGCGATGGTGCAAATGATGAGGAGGATGGTGATGACAGCAAAGGCAGTGAGCGATTTACGCACCGCCTTGTACTGCTGTTCTGTTTGCGGCTGGTAAATGCGGACGAGCTTGTATATGAAGTAGGTCAGGCCGCCGAGATAGAGAACAATAACCGTACTCATGCCGACTTTGTTTTCGATTCTGGTGAACCAGGCTGCCAAAAGCAAAATGGCGATAGTGATGGGGACCGCGGCTATCGTCAGTCCGAATTCGGCGTCGGTATTGGGGGTAACAATGACCAAGAACTGAACGGTGAACCCAAGGAAAAAGAAGAAATCGAACTTCAGAAGTGCGATATAAATCTAGATTCGGTCAGTATGCAGACGAATGGTAGGCTTCGTAGATGGTGAAGACCCGTACCTGATAGTGTAGGAAACGCTTCTTCATCCTGTAGTCGGCTCCTATCGTCTTGAGAATGTCCCAGGCAAAGACTTGGTACAGCTTCCAGGCAGTGAAGCCCATGGCAATGGAACCAAAGGCTAGGATGCAAGGGATGGCCACCAAGTACGGCTTGACATCTGCCCACATGTCATCTTGAGGGTTCTTGAGGGACTGGTTGACCTTCAACTGGTCCAAGGCCTCTTCGATCTGTTCGACTTGAATGGCAGTGTAGACCATCAATGCGAGGTTGGCGATGCACACGCCAATGACTTGAATAGTGTTCTTGGCCCGCAAGGCATCCCAGACGACAACCAGTTCGTACAAAAAGCCGAAGATGAAAAGGGTCAGGAACGTCGGGATTGTCCGCCTTGGTGAGTCGATGTTGGCTTCGTTCGATTGCGTAGTAGAGTCCTGGTCGGTCAAGCCGGTCTGGAATTTCCAAAAGACGTAGCTGCGGGATGATTAGTATTGAGCAGCACGATATGCGCGACAGTACCGGTGGACGATGACTTACCACTCGAATGCCAGACAAATTATGGCCTGGACGAGAGTGATGAGGAAGAAGATCCTCGGCCATTTGACGCCCATGAAGCCAAAGCCGAGCGGGCCACTGGCACCACTGCTAGGACGCGAGCCGTTCATGGTGGACGGGGCGAGACCTTCGCGAAAAGCGTAGCCTTGGTTGTTTGATGCCGGGGGCGGGTTGTATTGCTGTTGATATTGTTGTTGGTATTCCTGAGCGTATTGTCTTGCAGCAAGTTCTTGGTCGAAGGCTGCAAAGTTTGGGTCGCCGCCGAGCAAAGAACGGCGGGAGTCTAGCCTCGTAGCCAGGTCGACGGTGTTAGCGACTCCCTGGGAGGAGTCGAGATGGGACGATGCGTAATGGTAGTGGGAAGGTGTCGTGGTGGTAAGGTGGTATGGTGGTATGGTTGTGTGCGACGAATTGGAGTTACTTGGAGTGTACGACGGCACGGCGGGTAGGCGTCAACTATCGGGGAAACGACGGTCGAAATGGACAAGACTTGTTCTCTTTTGGGGGATCCGGTTCTGGTCAAGGGATAAAAAGCAAGTGGAGATTGCGAGGGAGTGCCCGGTCGGTGGGAGATTCGAAAATAAGCCAGGCGCGCAGGTTAATGAGAAGATTACTATGCGAAAGAAAGATAGGGAAAAGGGAGGAAGATGGCAAGGCAGAGCCGTCGGGTTTCCTTAACGACAGTAGGTTTTCTTTGGGGTGTGTATGAGAGTGTTCGAGGTCGCAGCAAGGGGGGAAGCTGTTCAGGAAAGAGAGAATGCGAAGGTGTTGTTGGTGCGAAGCTGAAACAGGTTGGGGAGTTTGATCGGTTCGAAGGCGGACAGGGCTCCTTTTTCGCAGTCTCCGGATTTTGACAAGCGCAAAAGAAAGAAGAGAAAAAAAAAAGAAAAAGAAAAAAAGGGAACGACTAGGCGTGGTCGTGGAGGAGGAGGGAGGGAGGGAGTGAGGGAGTGAGGAGGAGGGTCAAAGGCTACAGGTAGCGCAGGACTCAGGAGCACGCTACCTATACCTGTACAATCCGCTGTAGGCCAGCAAACAGGAGCCTAGGTACTAAGGTATGTAAGACGGGACACCACGGCCTTCTGCGGTCTTGGGTGGAGCCTTGAGCCGGGGTGTGCTAGGAGGAAAAAGGTGTAGTTGCCAGAAGTTGGGAGGTGTGTGGGGCCAAGAGATGCTACGCGAGTGGGGCAAGGACCAAGGGACCGTGGGCCAAGAACCAGAAGGGGGGGAGCCAAGGACGAGGACTGATGGGCGAGGGAGGTGTAGGTAGACAAGGACAGCCTTGGAGAAGGGTTGGAATCGCAGGTCGATGGGCGGGGGGAACAGGACTTGGTACTGAGTGGAGAGGGAGAGAGAGGGAGAGAGGGAAAGAGAGAGAGAGAGAGAGGATAATGGGAAGAAAAATAAGCAGCGTCGATGGGTTCTTTCCAGGTCTGCTCTTTTGTTCTCTTGGGGATTAATTGCTGCGCGTGCTGGCTGTAGCGGGTGAGGTAAGACGATCCAGATGCTGTTCTTCGTTTGGGTGTAGGAGGGCCAGCTTGGGGGGGCGGGCTCCAAGGAAAGGCCTGGGCCGGCTTCGATTCGTCGGGGCGGCCGATCAGTCGGGTGATGGATGGCTGATCGGTTGAAGGGATTGCATCAGAAGAATCCTTCTACAGCTGGCGACGAAGTGAGGTAAATGATGGAGTGAGAGCGGGAGTGAAGAGAGGGAGAGAGAATGAGAGAGAGACACACAGCGTCTGCAAGGCGGGTGGGTCACTCTGTGGTCTGGTCGACAATAGATGGGCCAGCGTCTTCTTGGTGTTACGGATTTCCTACTTTCTCGTATTCGTGCGATGGTCGACCGGTCGACTTGTGGCTGTTTGGCGTCCAGAGTTTGGAGGGGGGGGGTGGAAGAACTGGGCAAGGCAAGGAGCATACGTCTCATTCATGAAATAGAAATTCCGACAGCAAGAGGCCTCAACAGCAATGAGGTCAATCATGTAACCCCAGACCCGAAGAATCAAGGCGCGCATATGACAGTCACTCAAACAACGTCCAATGTCGGCTCCCCGTACCGTACTTTGGCCCATGATCCCCCATTCATCAGAGGGGGAGGGGAGGGGAGCGCCGGCACGGCACGGCACAGCACGGCACAGCACAGCACAGCACAGCACAGCCGGAAAACCAGTACACCACACGCGCAGTCTCCAGACCTTTTCCCAAGGAAAAAGTGGCTGGTTCCGCCAGGGATAGTAGGGCTGTGCAGAAACCCCGGGCCCGAGGTGGTAGTATAGCGGGCTGGCTGCGCCAGGAATAGGACTTATGGGTTCGCTGCCTTGCGTGTTACTCTCCACTCTGCTAGTGCGCGACATGGCCGATGACTATGAATGGCTGGGGAGGGATGCACTCGGCTAACATGGAATTCTCCAGTGGGCCTCTCGCGCTGCACTATCGAAATGGCAGCTCCTCCTCTCCTCTCCTGCAAGCAAGTCAATCCTGGCCACCAACCCGCTCTCGCCAAATGCAGAACACGCGACCCATTTCCCCTTAACATGCACGACTTTATTGACATTGGCACCACTAATATCTTCGGCTCAGCAACCCAGCCAGATCATCTCAGCATCAAGGCTAGACTAGGACTGCCTGGGCCTGAGAGATGAGGCTTCCTCACAGCCACAGTCTCGCCAGTCCTACACTACCGAGTAGGTATGGATACACTATCCGTACCTAGTAGTAGGTACCTAATCCAAGCCTCTCTCTCCGTCTTCCTTGTTCTGTCGATTCTCTGCATGAGACCTGCATCGTCCCCTTACCTTACCTTAATTCTGCCCAACCAGACTGAAGATTCCCGACCTGACAAGATGCCCAGCCGGACTACGCCGTGGCGCTCCCAGCTGCTAGCCTCGTCGACGAACCGTCACCAACGCTCGGCGCGCTTCCTGGCGTTTTCTGACGTCCTGATGCTCAAAGGACCCCTTCACATGCCGTGCTTGCAGGTGGCTGGGCCCAATCCCATGCCTTCTCAGTAAGCACTCTTGACTTTTGTGTCATTTGCATTCATTCGTACCAAACTAGCGGCATCTTCCGCCACGGATTGGTTGTGTTACGGATACAGAGTGCGGTAAAGAAACGACCAATATCCCAATAATAATAATAATAATAATAATAATAATAATAATAATAATAATAATAATAATAATAATAATAACAACAACGTTATCTTAATCAAGCAAAGACAGAATACGGCGCCTCTCTTTTCTCCCGCTGCCCTTAGGTATCCGCAGACGCACCGTCAGCCAGGTGAACACTCGCTCTGCTCCGTCCTACCCAACTACCTACACAGTACCCAAGTATGTACGGATATCTACATTGTACATCTCCTTGTCGGCTCACACTGTCATTTCCACAACCCCGCCATGCCACTCTTCTTTCGCTCCATCCCTCCCACTCATCAATGCCGTGCCCATCCGCGCACCCTGTTGTTGGCCCACATGCTGTGATCCCAGGCCAACCCCCCTCCCCCCACTGAGAACCGGGAGTCAGTCCGCGTGCGCCGTTCCGAGCAATGTGCGATGATGAAAGAGAGATTATTGACATCGACCCTGTTGCGGCGGTGACGACAGACGCATCTGAGGACGCCAAGCCACTCCAGGAACTCCACCGCGGCATCACGGTGGTTTGAGGCTCAGTCAAGGTTGAACCACCACGGCAAGACACAATTCTCACACTGACACTCTCACACTGACACAAACCCTTCCGTCGTCTCACGGTTCATGCTCAACTTTCGAGTGAGATCGGATAACCCGCCGATGAACCGCCCGCACGGCGGCCTTTGCCCTACCAGCCTGATTAGCGCGGATCTTATTGCGGTTGACGTCTCCATTTCAATGCTTCGCATCTTGCAAAACACCGTCTGGGCCGCAGATCGCGCCCCGTGCCAGACTTTTATTATCCCCGTCCGAAGTATTGAAACAACATCCTTCTTTTTCCCCTTTTGCCCAAACCTCCGAGGTTGCCCAACTTGGACGCACTGGCCAGGAGAGCCACCACTCCTCGGCCATCCTGTGAACCCCGTCCCGTTCCATCCTCTGTTCCTCGGGGGAAAAAGGGTCACCACAATCCCTGTTCCGGATCTGGACGAGTCAAACGAGCAGTGAGTGCCCGAACCCTCGGTCGTCGGTCGCTCAGCATAGTTGCGATTGGCATCGTTGTCCATGCAAGCGGCCGGCGATGCCTACAGTGGATCAACCGATATTACTTCCCCGACCATGGTCATTACCGCGGCCTATCCTGACGACTTTTTTTTATCCAAAACAAGTTGCCTAGGCTATAAAAGAAAAAGAAAAAAAAGGAAAAAGGAAAAAGAATTCTTGCCACCCGTCTGAAAGGCTACTTACTACCTAGAGACTTCAGGTCTGAGCACGGAGCTGGATGTCAGTTGATAATATCATACCTTGTCTTCTCGGCTTCGTCGGTGCTTGCTATGCTTAATGCATACCAAAGTACTGGATGGTGTCACGGTTGTCCCGTCAAACCCTCCTGCCCGTGCGGTAACAAGGCAGTATCAACAACAGCCCGGCACCTCGCTCGCTCACTTATGCGGTCATGCTTCAGGAGAAAACTCTGAGGGAGAAAAGGCCATGTTCAGATTCGAGGTCTTGGGACAGGAAATGTGCATCCTGGTACCGATACAGGCTTCTGTGTAGGCTGCAATCAAGTCTGCGTGGTTCCTAATTACGTAGTAATGGCTAGTCTGAGTCTCCTTTCCACCATTTCTCCAGATGACACGTCTAGGATGGTCTAGCTTTTTCCCGCGAGGCCCTCGGTGCTTCATGTGTGCCAACGCGACATCGTTGTATTTTTTTCTTCACCGTTGGTTTAAGTGAGAACTGTCAACTGGGGCCCGGCATACCCAAAGTACTGGGTTCCTAGGCTTATGGCCTGTTCACATCCCAGTTGGCGGCATGTCACGGCTGCTTCCCAGCTCGCAGCACGTCGGCCGAATCTGTTCGGCAATATAGCTACAAGAGGAACTTCTCGGCCGTCTTCCATTATGCCGAGTAGAAGGAACCATTCTACCATCGACGCCCGAACATACGAAGACAATACGAGTCACGTGTGAGACCGGACCCGCCCAAGATCCGATGCGGTCTTTCTTCTCATGGTTCATGTGCAAGACGATTCCACCTGCGCACCAACCAAGACGAGTAGTATCGAGTACTGTGTATCCATGCAGTGATTTGAAACGGCCCAACGGTGCCCTGATGTAAAGGCTGGATCGTAGAATGCGGATGACGGCACTCTCGGGGAAGCCCTCCGTGGGCGAGGGAACAAAACCACTCCACAATGCCGAGGTGAAGACCAAGATCGTCCCGCTCGACGACTCCCGATTCTCGGATCCGGGTTGCCGCCAAGTACGACGATACCACGCGTTGCTGTTTGGGTTCTGCCCACTAAGAGTTGTTATGCAATGGTAGGGGAGTGTTGAACAAGACGATCAAACGTGTGACGAAGTGAATGATCAAATCTGGTTGGCGGAAGCCGCGAGCTCGGTCGACTGTGTCGAAGCATCTAAGACTATCGTCGTCTGACTGAGCAGCCACGGTCTGTCAAGACACGCATGTTACTTTGATGGATCGAGCGGGCGGGATTTGCGCACCAAGATCGCTCCAACCAATTCCCCTAGGCTCCATGGTTTAGATTCTCTTCGTTAGAATTTCGGCTCCAAATGGTTTGGCTGAGCCTGAGAAGTCCTTCGGTGTCAGACATGCCATGCGTTCCGACCCCAACCTTCTTCGCGAGGCGAGCCATGTGCTATCCCAGTTGACCATATCAGATATTGCTGGTTTTGGGATGCCTCGTCGAATCTGCTAGGCGCAGCTGGGAATGTCCTCCATCCTATGGAATACAATCCTATTGAATACAGAGCATCGCTCTCCTCACCCGGCATTGAAGTAGGGCAAGGTTTGCAAGATCCCGGTAAATATCAAGTCAAAAGCACTGAGAGGGCGCTAAGGGCATCTGCCATGCCTGTGAGATGCGATGAGGGTGACTTTCTGCATGTCTCACGGGCTCGCAGCGTCCGGATATGTCCCCAAACCAGGAGCAGGCTTCGAGGAGTGTGCAAAGCGGAATGTGAGAGTAGTTCTCTTCATTGAAAGGACCTTCTGCTGGTCCTTCCCATATTATACACGAAGCCCCCAGTTGCGGGGCTGCTTCTAAATGCCACATCAAAATCCCCAAGGTATCGCAACCCCCAATACAGAGACCAAGAGGCCTGGCGACGTCGATACGGGGACCCGCTCCCATCAATAATCTCATCCGTGATATACATGTCGCCACCGCGTTCAGAGTCCTAAAGGAAGCAGACCGGTCGTCTCACGGTAATGCTATGTCGTTGCTCCTTTTCCCAAAGCTCTGTTATGCTTCGGCTTTCGTTTCTTTGCCCTTCAACGCTTGTTGTTGTTGCCGTTGTTCTTTTAGAACATGCCGCCTCCCATGCCACCGCCTCTCTTCTGGCTCTCATTCTGCATCACTTCGGACGCCTTCATGTGCGCCTCGAAGAACTTGGCGGCGCAGCGATCGAGGCAAACGGACTCGCCCTTGTTCAGGTCGGCCTCGCGGTAGTCGGGGAGGCACTTGGACTGGCAAATCTTGGTCAGGCTGATTGCGCGCGGATAGCATGTTAGCAAACATATCCTCATTTCGCGCATCCACGATGCATTGCTCATTGACGCTGCGAAAGGTCCTTCAGCGGGTAAATATCGTGGTAACGCACCGGTTGTGCATGTCAGCCAGCAGACGCATCTCCTGCTCGGCCATGGCGATCTTCTCCTCCGAGGAGAGCTTGGGGCGACCCATTCCAAAGAAAGACATGTTGGCGGTTGGGGGGATAGATGAGTGGAAGGTTTGGGTGATGGGTTCGACTTGGATTCCGTTGGATACGACGAGGGAGCGTTGTTTTGATTATGGGCAGCTAGCTTTGCTTGCTCGGAAGGCTGCTTGACGTGCTAAGTCGAGATTTTACGAAGCTCCTTTGCCTTATCTTATCACACTTCTCTTGGAGTTCAGCACTCGTCGGAGAGCCCCGCTTCGAAGTTCGATGTCCAATCACCAGCCGTTTGACATGGGCTCGTTCCGGGCCGGTTTGTCCCGCCGCTCGTGTCCAGGCGTTATCGATAACGTCAGGGACTACGATAAAAGTGCGCCGGCGCAAAATTTCTTTGCGAGTGTTCCTAACATACTTGGCCACCTCAAGAGGAGCCAAAATCTTCTTAAGCAACTATGGTGGTAAGTCTAGCTCGGGAATTGCATTTCCACCCTTCCAACTTCCCCCCTCATATGATGATTGCAAGCAATTCAGAACCGCTGCGACTTACACAGCTTCTGCTGTGGTTGATTTAAACCGCCTATTATCTGACATCCTACTCCTACCCTTACTTCATGCATCCATGCCTGATTGGACAACGGAGCTAACAGGAGATAACCAGATGCAATGACTTCAATTCAGAGTCTACGGCTGTTCCGGCCGTTGGTGCGCGCACCGCGGGTCGCCAGGTTCGCGCAGTTTTTCCATGCTGGGCAGCCAAGTGGCACAAGCATACTTCAGCAAAATGGGGCTAGGAGGAAGAAGGATAGGATAGCAACTCGGACAGAAGAACAAGACGCTTCAGCGCATGGTGGAGAGGAGACTAGGGTATCGGAGTTCAAGAAGATGCGCACCAAGGCGCTGGAGGAGGCCAGCGAGAAGGGACTATTCCAGGAGACGCATCCACGGCTGGTCCATCGCAAGAAGCCTATGTCTGTCCCTGCCTTTAGGAAGAGTTGGAAGAATGCCAAGCTGGACGACCCGGGCAATACTGAGGTCGTCACCCTGTATGGTACGCAGAATGAATACAAGTCGTCCCTAATCACCATCGGCGCCTTGCTGACAGGGCCACAGGCCGCGTCCAATCCATCCGCTTGCACGGGAACAGGCTCGTCTTCGTTACCATTGTCAATGAGTTTGAAAAGATTCAGGGCATGGTCAACTACCGTAACCTCGACAACCTCCCCGACATGACCCTTGACTCCTTCAAGCTCTTTGCCCGGCTGATCGAGAAGGGCGACCACATATGTAAGCGCCCGCCAAGGTACTTCTTCATGGTGACCAAATGCTAAACAAACCCGCAGCCATCACTGGCAAGCCCACTCGTACGAGCACTGGCGAGCTCACCATCCAGGCCGTAGTGCTCCCGGAGCTGCTCTCCCCGGCCATGGAGCAAATCCCGCAGACCCTGACGGACCCGGAGACGAAGTCGCGCAAGCGGCACGTCGACATGATTGTCAACCCCGAGGTCGCCGACATCTTGCGGCTGCGCTCCCACATCACAAAGTACATGCGCGATTACTTCCACGAGCAGTCCTTCCTCGAGTTCCAGACGCCCATCCTTGCTGAGAACGCTGGCGGCGCCGTTGCGCGCTCCTTCACTACCCAGGCCACCGAGTTCCCCTCCAAGGAGCTCTCCCTCCGCATCGCGCCCGAGCTCTGGCTCAAGCGCCTCGTCGTTGGCGGCGTCCACAAGGTCTTCGAGATCGGCCCGGCCTTCCGCAACGAGGGCATCGACGGCACCCACAACCCCGAGTTCACAATGTGCGAGTTCTACAGCGCCTATACGAACCTACCCGAGCTCATCGCCCGCACCGAAGAGCTCCTCGCGGGCCTCGCGGCCCACTGTCAGCACCTCATCGAGACCCAGCTCACCTCCCTCGAGCCCATCGACGCCTCCAAGTTCGCCCGTCCCTTCCGTCAGCTCGAGTTCATCCCAGCCCTCGAAGAAGCACTCGGCTTCCGCTTGCCCAAGCTCACCGGCAAGGATGCCTACCCGGAGCTCATCGCCGCGCTGGCCCTCTGCAAGATCGAAGTTCCCGGTGGCATCCCGCCGACGATGCCCAAGCTCCTCGACCGCCTGGCAGCCGTCTACCTCGAGCCCAAGTCCTTCGAGGGCCCGCTCTTCATCACGCACCACCCGACGTGCATGTCGCCGCTCGCCAAGAGCTTCGTCTGTCCCGCCACGCTACAGCTCGTGTCGGCGCGCACAGAGCTCTTCGTCAACGGCCGCGAGCTGGCCAACATGTACGAGGAGGAAAACGACCCGGCGGCACAGGCGCGCAAGCTCGCGGAGCACCGCTTCTTCGGCACCGGAAAGGACCAGGCGCTGCTCGAGGACAAGGACGAGCCGCACCCGCACAGGGACGCGCCCCTCGACAAGAGCTACATCCGGGCGCTCGAGGCCGGGTTGCCGCCGACGGGGGGCTGGGGCTGTGGCGTCGAGAGGCTGGTTATGCTGTTCTCCGGCGCCAACCGGATAAGCGATTGCTTGAGCTTCGGGACGTTGAAGAACGTGGTCGGCCTAACGTCCGAGGCGCAGAACCGCACAGAGTCTTAGTGAGCGTCGTCATGATGACGGCGTTGGTATATTTCTCCCGTTCTTTTATGCTTTGCCACTTTTATTTTTCTGTCTCAATTTTTTTTTTTTTTGCGTGAGCCAACGAGCATTGGAATTGTCTGACTTGAGTCGAAGCCGTCTGGAGATGAGTCAGGCGAAGGGAGTATGGAGAGGAGTTCAGAAGCATGTAATAACCTGTACAACATCGGACCAGCGTAGATGTACCACTTTGTTAGAATACCCAAGCATAAGAGGAGCTTGAGGGCAGCAAGGCCACCTTTTCGGAAAGGATTCACCAATGATTGCCCGTGATTTGTCTGAATTCAACCCGCTTTTGCTCATGAACTACCAAACTATGCTAACTTGGAGAGAATATAGGCAGTGCCTATGACCCTCCAAGAAAATGCTACGCATCAAGCTGCAATAATAGAAAGCCAGATAAACCAAGGAGGTGGCAAAATCAACCGAACTAAACTGCCATCGTTCTTCCAGAAACCTCTTTCGTCTAGGAGCACTGTGGCATGTAACCAGAATCCGAGAGTTCGTCCAAGGCAAAATTGCGCCTTACCCAATGCTGTTTTCCGATTTTCTATGCGCGCTCTTCCTTTCCTTCCATTTATTGCATCGGCATTCCATAGATTATCCAATGCTCAAAGTCACGTTCGTTTCGCCACGGTGTAATATTGAGAATTATTCGTCGGAGTCTAGAATGCAAACGATGCCGCTGATCGATATACGCTGCCCGTCGCCAGTATGTAATTGCCGGGGGTATAAGCTTAGACGAGAAGCAGTCGCACAAAAATGTGATGCTGATTTTCTCCGTATCCTTACCAGAATCGACTCGCTTGGTGCTCCGCAGAGTCTTTCACCGCGTCCTTCCAGAGAATATATTCCCATGACTGGTTACGGATTCTTTTGCCGTTAAGCCGAGCCCAGGTGGGAATAGTCTGCTTCGTAAGCGTTGGATGGTCCATATAGATACCCCTCAGCTCCTGTAGCTTGTTATGCACGTCAAGCAGTGCTGCCTCTCCAGAAGCTCCGAGAATGGCGTAATCCCTCTCGGGCGCGATGAGGTCCAGTACTCTGGGCAGGTTTTGGTGGTTTCGAACGGCTTCGGCACGAGCCACGCTGTGGAGTGCCGGAGAACGAGCAAAGGGGTTGACGAGGAGCGGTGCGACGGTATCTTGGAGGTCTCTGTCCATGACCTGGCCCGGGCTCTGCACACTTTCATCCGACGAGGAAAGGAACGTGTTGAGGAGTTCCCTCTTCTCGATCAACCGATGGTGAGCCTCTCCGTTGAGGGCGTATTGCAGGTCACACATGCGACAAACCCAATGCTCTGGCCGCCGGATTTCCATCTCCAGTCGGAAAAAGGTTCGAATCAGGGTATTGCTGCATCGATTACAGGTGTGTTGCTTGAATTGCTCGTTGCGTTGACGATACTTCATCTTCTGGTCGCGGCCCTGAAGCAGGCTCATTAGAACCTGGTCCTCGAGGCCTTCCTTGACAATGTCAGGGAGAAGGAAGTAGGAAGGGGTACTCATGGCCGAGTCAATCCATGTGAAGATATGATGAAGAAAGGCAGCACCTTGTCCGGGCTTCATCGGTACGAGGTCGAAAAACCTGCGGAAATCTTGGCGTTCGGAGAGTAGTTCTATACCCATTGGAATGGCTTTCATGACGGCCAGGAAGACTGTGGTGAAGAAGCTGGTTAGAACGTTGACATTGATCGGGTCCCATGAGACGATGTGAGTACCAAGACGATTGTTTAGCGGGCCAAAGTACGTTCGAGGATAGAACTGAAGAACAACTGGTTTCTTTACCATCCTTTTTGAGTTCCAGTAGACAAGGTCCAGTAGTGGGATGAGATGGCCAACGTGAAGTAGCTCGCAGTTAATGGCTCCTAAAATCTCGAGCTGTGGGCATGTCACGAGAATCATCTCAACGATTCGCGTGTCCATCATGGGAACTTCGTGCAGACGGATATTCTTCAGGGCACCGCCGTATTGGTTGAGCGAACGTACTGTCAGTGAATTAGCATCAAACACAAGTCATGTACAACCCATGTTGGGTGATCAACGTACACATTGGGATGTTGTATGACACCTCTTGTAGATAGTGGTTCGCCGCCTCCATATAGAACAGACCCTGCTCTTGAAGCCTAGCACCTAACTTGGCTTCAGCATCGAGGAGTCTCTTGTCATTGACTAGGAACGGGAAAAATTTCTCATAGGTGTCCGCGTCCGCTTTGTTGTCCTGCGCAATGTTCCACAACGTGTTGCGCGTCTTGTGGCTCAACCAGGCCTTCGGAATGCCCTTGATGTCCCCGGGAGCAACACTGGGATCTCTACCCCGAATGAAGAGGTTGCAGCCGATCCCAATCGTCGATCGTCGTGCGTCATCGATCCCGTCAAGCGCAGAGGGAAGCCAATCGCAGTCTTGGTAATCGCCGAGAGGGAGATGAAAGCGAGACTGCGGCAGGTTAGTGGTATGAAAGGGGATCCGATTGGTACTGGACTGGGACCTACCACATAGATAGCTACTGCATCCAAACAAGCCTTGGAAGCGGAGGCAAGTCTGCCAACCGCTGGGGTATCCATAGACCAAAGGCATGCTATCACTTCGTGGCCGATAGGCACGACAGCAAGAACCTGCTCGAAAAGAGTTGTGAGGCTAGGTAATACTGTCTCGTTGGGGAGCTCCTCATCCTGGTGAGCTTCTCTGATGGACTCTCCACTTTCTTCGGCGGAAATTGAATGGTTCAACTCTGTATCGTTGTCTGGAACCTGCCGCAGTTCGTTCCAAAACACTGGTCCTGGAAATTCCTTACAGGGTAGCTTCGGCAAAGACTTCTTGCCTCCCGTTATCAGACCGATGACGGTGCCAAGCTGGTCCCGGCACTGCTCCGTGTACGTGCGGCCCACCACCGGGTGACACTTGTCGTTATGGGGAACCACAAGCTTCATCTCACCGGGATGGATGGCTTTCTCGGGATAGGCCATTACAGATACTGATCTCTCACCTACCAGACTGGTGATTGAAGGCAAGCGGAGAAAGAACTGACTAGCTTCGCCAAACTGTCTGAAGCTAGCCCACGCGATTGGAGTAAATATAACTGAATGAAGGAGCAACGAAGTAGCAATAGAAGATGAGGAAGAGGAGTCACAAGTGAGATCGAAAGGTACAGCCCGGATAGTGAAGCTTGCTTACGGCCAATATAGGAATGTGAGATCAAAAGATGATTTAGGGTTCGAGTATTTTCCAAAAGAGCCTCTCGCTGTTACCCCTGACTGGTTAGCTACGAGGAAATGAAGCTAAGACTGGAAGTGGTATGCTATTGAGAAAAGGCCTGCCAGAGCCGAAGGTGAGGTGTGGAAAGCCGGTTGATAGATAGCTGATCAACTCCAAGGTGAACCCACGGGAATTAAGCAGGAATTGAAGCAGACCAGACGAAAACACACGAACTCGAGCGTCGTTTCCTCTTGAATGTTGGAGATTAGTAAGGACGCCGAGGTGAGTTGGTATGTATCTATAACGAGGGGAGCAAAGCTAGGCGCACCAAACGTGATGGACAACGTGAACTGTGTATCAAATTAGAGGCGAGGCGAATATGAAGTGTGATCGTGGCACTTGAATGAATTCAAGGACCAAAGTTTGATGGGATCTTTAACTTGCGATGTTGGCCGAGAGAGGGAAATGAAGACGAGGGGGGTTTTCTGAATACTTGGGAGGGCAAAGTCGAAAAAGGCAAGCAGGGGAAGGAAGGAGGGACCTACCGCTGTTGAGGGAACTACTTTCAAGAAATGAACCGACTTTTATGTAGCAGGATAATTGCGAAGTAATTAATGATGACGATTTCTACCATGCATAGGAGAGCTAATATGTGCATGACCTACATGAGCCGCAGCATCCCCTCGTTGCTTGATATCAAGAGAAATCCGGAATACACCAGAACTGACATTCAGTTAGGTAGAATCAAACAACTCCATTGGGAAGGCCCGTTCTTCGCACGGGCCGGAGATACTGGCTCGCCGATATGGGCTAATTAATATAAGCCGTCGTTTGACAGGCGGGAGACTACTCCAACGAGATTTCGCAGAAAGGGACTCAACCGCATTCGAGCAACAACATGTGATGGATTGGGAACGTTCTTGCCAAAACAAGCAAGAGTCTGGGCCTGCCAATGTAGCTCAAAAACAGGATGGGCCCTCCTGCTGGCCTTCACCAAATAGATACAATATGTTTAGGTATTGCATAGGTAGCAGGTAAAAGCGGGTGAGATCTTGCCAAAAGACCTAAGAACATGAAGGTTGCATGGACTTCATACTGTTTGGATGGCATCTGCCAAGCCGGGGGAGACAATTTGTTTGCTGCCTCCTGCATTCGTCGCCTTATGCTTGTTTGTGTAAGGGGAAATGGGTTTCACGGACTTCTGTCCTCAGAGATGTTTGATATGATACGTTTCAGTAAATAAAAGACTGCTATATACGATCACTAAGCCTGTGAAAACCTAGGAAGGCTAAACTTATTTGACTATTGGCTGCAACATCTCTCCCTCGTGCTTGACTGTAAAACCGTAAGCATCTATTTCCTGCACTGCTGATATAACCTACAATCAACCCCCCCTTCTCTCTCTCACCGTCGTTCTTGGCGGCTTAGGACTCATGAACTATTAGGACGATTGCGAGATTGCCTTCACTAGGGGCTGGCCGACGTTGGGTCTGCGTCACCGCTTTCGACTGGCACAGCATAGCAGAGCCTGATGGCCAAAGAAACAAGCAAGCAAGCGTATGTTTAAGAACCCATTCCTTGGTATCGAATAACAATCACATGCAGTCATTCGAATACCGGAAGAGCTTGAGAATTGGTACTCTGCACCAGATTGAACCTCATTGAAAAAACCCGAGGCGTAGACGTAACTTCCTTCACGACTCAGAACGGCACAAGAATATAAATAGCGTTGAGTTGAGGATAATAACATGCCATTTCAATTTTCAAGGAGCGTAAGGTTGCAGTCAACTTCTCAGCGCTTGCGTTGAAGTCAAAACCAGCCGAAGTAAAGCCTAATGGCCCAAGTCAAAGCTCCCATCTAGGATAATGAGTCTTTGGTGCCACAAAGCCCATTGCAAATCCGTCTCGAGTGGCTTCATGTCTCGTCCTGTGGTGTGACAGGAGCTGCATCCCCCTACAAGGAGTACCGCATAAGCCACCCACAATGGGCTCCACCGACGGCACCGAAAATGACCGCTAAGACGGACGGTACCGTCGGATACGTCCATGGATTCGCGGCACTAGCGGCGACGATGGAAATAGGTTCGAAATGTGGTACGGCTGACGTCGAGAGCCGGCCAATGCGACCTACCCCAAGATAAGAAGACTCATGCGGCCCACCTATAGCTTGATGGCGGGCACTTGACTCGTCATGGTGCGATGCAAGCATCGGTACGCGGGAATCTTGGTACGTGATGAGGGGAAGAAGCCTAGAGAGAAGGCGCATCATGTGCGTGCTGCTCAATGGCGGGGTTTGCATAAACGTTTCCGACGTGTGCTGGCCAGGCTTTGCAAGCGGGCGTGCATGGTGAGGACGTCGAGGATTGATACCTGGATAGCAATGGTATGGTGTCGAACCCCAGGCGGGTCCAGGTAGATCGGACACCGTCACCGCAACTTTGTTTCGACAAGGACGCCGGTTTAGCAAAAACCAGGCTCGGAAGGGGCGGGAACGGTCGGTCGTTGGGAATAGACTCAACAGGGAAGGCTACGCATCGACGCCGGTTGGTGCCCGCCTATCGTCAACGATGAAAGAAGTTTCAGTAGTCATGAGCTAGTGTAACGTCAGTCACATATGAACAAGAACACCCTTATGGGTTAACAGAGGCCAGAAAGATCGCTACCCCGTATTCAATACTGCGCAGTTGCCCTTAGATAGGTAGTAAGCTGCGACAACAGACCTGGTTAGTGGCAATTCAGCCCAGTCTGGGAAAATAAATAGCATACATGGTATGTTCGGGCAGAGGCACTGGAATGACTTGGATCACCTTGTAACCAACAGCAAAGCAGGTGTGCTGTATTTGTCTTTGTTGCGTTCCATAGCCGGCCGACCTTGGTGTCGATTCGCTACCTCTGCAGCGGAATGCCTGCCTTTCTTCGGGTTGTCTCGACGAGGCCCCACCTGTATCAAACGAGAGACGGGTTTGTTTCAGTTACGGCATCGAGGACGGCCAACAAGCAACACCTGGTTGGCTAGCCCCTCCGTATTAGTTGGGTGTGCTCAGTAAGACCATCGACCGCCAGAGCCATCGGTGTTGGATTATTGTATAAGGCCCGACAAAATGCGCCATCGTGGCGAGGGAATGTATGTCGCGGCAGGATATTGTTGATTTCCCGGATCTCACTGGCAACGCCCGCAGCACAGCAACACAGTCATCCATGACGGTGCCGGCCAGGGAGATAATGCCCTCAACTGACGCTCAAAAAGTGAACGTTCCACGGCTGAAACTACGGATATGCGAGCAGATAATGAGGTAGGTCCCTTGGGCTGAAGTAGAAGGTAAGTTGCCTGTAGGAAACCCTGTTTCAAGCAAGCCGGCGGACTCGGCGCAGAACTTCCGGAACGTCCCGTGAGCCTGGTAGTAGTACATCGTACGAGCAAACCGAAGGGCGGAGGCAAGCAAGGGAAGACCTGGGTGCCGTATGAGCCTAGGCTCGCGGCGATGGTTGTAATATTCCTTGGTATATCAATGTTTCACTCCGCAAAGCCGTCGTAAGCTACCCCAATGCCGTCTGTCTCAGATAGTGGGCGACGGCATGCACGTCCAATGAGGCCGGCACGCGAAGCTTCTCTGGACGAAGAGCAGCGAGTGCTCGCATATAAAGGCGTCCGGTACTCTACGACCCACGCTGGAGCAGGTTAGCGACTCTGCAGCAATGACAGCGATGGCAACGATGAATTTCCTTATATGGCAACTACTGGACTGGATTAACGAACGATAGCCGTGTTGAAGTCGGCAGAGGGCAACGACAGCCCCAACAATGATGCAAAACGGACGGCCGGACCAGGGGTGGCATTTCAACCAAGAATAGCCACTGCTTGAAAACGCAACAGAAAGTGATCATGCGCATACGCAGGAAAGACAGGGAGGAGGGGCGATGGATGTGCTGGTAGCCCAGTCGTAGATCTGCTGGCCACCATCAGTCAATACAGTCCAAAGTGCTGTAGTCAGTCAGGGGATAGGAGGGTGGCCATCGACGCAGACCCATCGAGAAGGGTTGTGGTTGCGTTCAACGTGGGATGAAAAGGGTGGTGGCCAACCCCCCAACACCAACAAGTCGCCGGCACATCTCGATTGGCAAAGTATGTATCCGTAGACGTGAATTAAAAGAAACCGGCTTGGATGGAATCTGGTACTTGGAAGGCAACATGCACGGTACAACAAACAAGCCTTGGCCTTAGGCAACTAAACCACCATAGTACCTGCTCGATTGCTGGTCGCCCTTTCCACAACTTTCCATTCCTGCTTCCTACCTTAGGTAGGTAGAGTAGGAAACTTCCTGGCTACGCCACGGTCACTCGCAGGCGGCGACGATCAAGATCGTGAGAGCAACCATTCACCAGGACCCCAGCCCGCTATCTCGAGTTCTTGACCTACGCCATCGGCATAGCCCAATGAGACTCGTTAGACGATGCCCACCCGCGGCATGCTGCAAAAAAAGCGCCGCCACACACAGCACACTGCCTTGCTTCTGCAATGTCACGCCAGGTAATTGGGTACGATAATCTACCTACCATCCTTCATGGGCGCCATTCTTGGCCAGGCCATCCACACCTCCTAACTTCTGCGGCGACTCGTCGGTCATGTGTACAATATCTGAGACTGTAACCACGGCCCCAGTTTAGACCTGGGTGACCCGCTGCGCGATGCTGCAGTTCATCGTCACAGATGGCGAGATGCCTTGCACCGAGATCGAGCGGATGGCGATGTCGCCATCCAGCCAAGCAGGG